CGCTCGAATTTTGAACCCTGTCACGTGTGGGTGCCCCACATACGCTTATCTGGTATATCGAGATGAAGATGGTGGAGGTTATATTGTTGGGAATTTGGGCGAAAGAGATCACTTCTGATGTGATAGTAAAATAATCATTGTCGCTCATCTTGCAACACTTCTTCTGCTGTCACGTCACTATTGCTAAATTCAAATCGCATTCATGTTTTGTGAATATGAAGACCTGTGTCACGAGTATATATATTTATATGAACTACGTACTGTTCAAACTTCAGCAAGCAATATATGATGGTACTCCTAGTGTTCAAAGCCTAGCAGGCTTACATAGCCTACTAAATATGTCCTATAAACCGTTCGACCAATATATTAATAATCAAAAGCTACCGAGCAAGGGACAAGTACCCAGTCGGCGCGATATTGTATATGTATCCGCCCAATGGCTGTAGTGACAGTTTGATGCAATCTATTGAAGTACCAATCTTGCTATATCATGACCTGCTTGTCCCGATTACTTGTTTATGAGGGGCATTGAAGATTTCGAGACGAATATTAAAAAAAGTATTCTCTTCCTGACATAGTGCATTGAGTATTTCCTAATTGCTACTTGGTTGCTTATATTCATGTGATATTGTTCCTCGGTATCGGCATACTTTGGTGAGTAAAGCCTTAACTTTATGAACAGATTCTAATGATGTATCAAGATTCAACTACCCGTAGCACGGAATATATATATGTACATATCGCACAGGTAGTTGTATTAGAAGTAACTGACATAGGTCGGAGTCGAATAAGATGCCACAATCTCAAATAAAAGTACTATGCTATTCAAACCTCATTATCCGATCAGATCTGTCCATTTGTTGGTGGCGACTAGGAACCTGGGTAGGGTTACTGACTGAGAGCCTAGTGCCATAGTGGAGGGGACAATTACGTCTTGGCAGAGTCTAGATCCACCATTTTGCTGCAAGGAAAGGCTATGCGAGGAGCCCACGCGTTCGACACAAGGTATCACCGGTAGCCTGGATGTCATCCCGAAAACTCGGAACCAGATGTCACATTGGAGCTGTCTCGAGTAGCAGGAAATGCTGCCCCCCCCCTTTGTGCGGTGCCTTGTTGACTATAATCTCGTTCGGCTATTTAGGATACTACGAGAATCGAGTGGAATGCTGCCCTACGCCATGGCAATAAACCGGCCCAGACACCTGGCGCGCATTCCGCCGGAAAATCTTAGCTCGAATACCAGCCCGAGCCTAGCCGGTCCGCGCCAAGCCCTCACCCAGATTCAGCCCAGCCAAGCCCGGAGACGACCAACAAACTGAACCTCCTCTAACAATTGCTTCGCCAAGCGCAGAGACCTTACCGAGCTCCGATGCCCTACAACCCCACTCCATCCATGTCCAAGAGGAGCATATTCAGTACAAGCTTGCGAGAGCCCCTCTACCCACACACAGATCGATCACCGCAAGGATGGGGCCATCTTAGCTTATTTCGGGTACGAGCTTGCGAAGGTTCCACGCGGCGGGATCCACCGGCCGTGGTTCCTCCCACTCAATGCAGCCTGAGTCGGCAGTTTAACCCGAAGGGCCGGTTTTTGGTGTCAACGGGCGATGGGGCCGGAGTTTGGCCGGGTGGGGGATTACCGGTGAGGACTTTATATGGTTGTTGTTGTCTGGGTGTGGTACAACTCTAGGTATTATCTACAGACCAGGTACAATCTACAGACCAAGTACAATGTACAGGAAAGATTAATGAGTTAATTGTAGACAGGAGGATGCCGTTGTCTCTCTCACGCAAAAGAGCTTCAAGTATAGACTATGTGCAAATAATGAGGAAATGAGATAATTAACAATTGTAGATATGAACGTTAACTTTTCATTACTGTGCAGTAAACCCTGCATAGTCCCACATTACATATACTCATTGGCAAACATGATCAATCCAAGCCGTAAACCCCTTCCAATCATCTTGCATCATCCCCTTTTCTAACCCCACTTTACCAGCCGAATGCCTCCTCGAAGTACTCAATATCTTGGAATCCACCCTTCATGGCCTCGTACACCGAAGACCTGCACTCATCCGCCATCACGGCCGGACCACAGGTAATAACAGCCAACCGGGCCGAGCTAGCCTCTGCCTCACGCACGGCAGTCATTACACTAGCGCGAATAGCAGGCCGGCCGTAGCGCAGCTCGACATTGAGGTCCTCGACGGAGCGAATAGACCCGCTGGACCTGTCCTGGAGAGCCATAGCATCCGCAACAGCCTCCTTCTCCTTCGTGGGAGTCGTTGCGCCGGAGTCAATTACGGTTCCGGCCGCCGACTTGTCAGTGCAGAAGAGAGTGGTGGTAATGTCGCTGTGCTCCAAAGCTGCGGACAGATCTCTGCAGCAGACTTCGTCGAAGATCTTCTTTTGGCGGCCTGTCCAGATGAGCTGGATACGAGTGGTGTTGGTCTTGCCGGCCTCGACGCGCGAGATGTGGTCCAGGATGTAAGGCACCGCGCAGGCAATACCAGTTCCACCCATGATCATGAGGACTGTGTCGAAAGTGTGAAGTGGAGCCTGGTGTCCGTATGGGCCCTCCAGGAGGAGCTTAGGGCGGATTTCAGAGCCGGCCTTTTGGCATTGGTCACGTAGACGTCTCGTCCAGCCGTCATAGGGACGGATGTAGAAGATAAGCTTCGAGGACTCTTCCTTCGAGGTTGCGTTCTCGTAACATCCCAGAGTGAAGGGGTGGTTTTCCCAACCGCGGAGAGTGACCGGTTGGTAGAGGTAGTAGTGTTGGCCAGGGCCAGGCTTCAGGGTCTGAGAAGCAGGGTATATCTCGACGCGGATCAGGTCGCTCTCGGGACTATAGGTGACCGTGGATGAGGTTGTGGAGATGAATCCCTTTCCGAACTTGACGTGAAGGTTGCAGTAGAGCATGCGTGCATAGCGGACGGCACGATCGAAGCCCCAAATGGCAACCATGGGCCAGAGGTAGCCGTTATAGACGGTTCCGTCGAAGCTGGTGTGGCTGCAGTCTTACAGTTAGAGATAGTGAATGTGGATTGCATAGTCAAGGAACGCATACCGGAACAAGGCGTAGATGGTCAGAATGGCCAAGAGGACGTGAATGATCAGGAAGGTCTCGTAGAATCTCTGACGAAGCCAAGTACCAGACTGAAAGAGTATAACTGCCATAACAACCGTAGCCTATAGAGAAATTAGAGCTTTTGGACACCACATATTATCAGAATAGCCTTAACATACTACAATGCCCATGTAGAAGTAGTTCTGCTTCAGCGCGCTGTGATACCTGCCATCTGTATGTAGGATATGTTGTCAACAAGATGTAAACAGTAGGAACTGGTTGTGATAAGGGGGCTGACCATAAACCTGGAAGACCACAGTGTAGGCGATTGAGTGAACAATAGCCAGAAGGGTACACACCCAGGCCGTGTGACGGTGGAAGATGTTGAAAGACTGCACGTTGAAATCGGTTGCCCAGAGGAAAATATTGTTGCGTCCAGCAAAAAGCCAAAGGAAGGGCAGGCAAGCGTAGGACAAAACGCCAGTGCGGTCGGAGGAATATTGCCAGTTTTGCTGGTACAGACTCGGCGTGCTTGAAGTTGAGCCGTTAGTTAAAGCGCACAAGCCTTGAGTAGACTGATAACGCACCTAATGTTACCCGTGAAACTCTCGTAGTTGACGCAGGACAGAATGATAGCGACGGCCCAGAAACCAAAGACGATCAAGGTGTCCAGTCGTTTGGGAATGGTGTGAAACAGGAAAAGCTGTTGATGGTTCGACAGGTAGGGAGCGAAGCTGGCAGGAATCACAAAGTATGTGCGAATTAAGTGTGCAACTGCAGCGACTGGTGCGAATGCTTTACTTCGAGGGCCTGCACTGTTTTTCTCGGCGTCACCAGAATTAGAAAGTCTCATACTAGAACGGACAAACTTCCAGGCCTTCACTATCATTCCAAGGGCCAGGACACCGCCCCAATATCCCATGAGACCCCATCCATAGCGTTTGTCTTTAATCAATGCATAGTCGTGAGTAACCTGAGCTTATGTTAGTGGACTAGTGATAGAAAGAGTTAAGCAGTTGACCCACATAAGACTTGTAAGCCCGCTTGTAGTAGGAATGGCTCAGAAGGACAGGTGATTCAATGGTTCCGGTCGTTGTAGTACTATTCGTTTCCGGGTCGATAACAGGCAAGGAGGCAATATAGGCATCGGTGGCATTGGCTTCGATCTCGGTCAGGCTGATTAGGGACACGCTGCTTTGTTCACAAAGACTTTCCCAGTAGGATGGGATTGCAGAACTGAGTTGTTCCTCAGTGCACCACGCCTTTGCACTGGCATACAGGGACATGACTCCCACGGTACTTGTACAACCTCCCGTTGAGCTGGCACCATGATGACCACGCTTCTCTCGCATGGCTCGGCGACGGTGTGAGCTTGAGCTGCTGGACGAGCCATGTCCAGAGCTACTGGAGGAGCTACTGGAGGAGCTGCTGGAGGAGTTGGTGGAGGAAGATTGGCTGGAAGACCCATGCGCTGTGGTGCCAGAGCTCGACGATGTCGAGGTTGCCCCTTCGAATGTGTATGAGCCGAGAGACGAGTATATAGCGTAGAAGCAATAATCAGCCAGATTGGGAGCCGACATTGTCAAGCCCTGTCCGGCGAGGACCGGGCTCACGGCCCAACTCAGTCCAAGCAGGATGGCAGCCTGGGAACGCATGTTGAGATGGATGAGCTCAAAGTCTGTCTGACCAAGTCGAGGAAGCCCATTGCCCGGTATATATGTCTGGCCAGACCTTTGCCTTCTATTGTCATACGGTGCCTAATGGGACCCATTCTAATCGCTGGATTGCAAATACACCCGAACCCACCAACTGAAGTCTCTAGAAAGAGGCGTTCCTCTAGCAGAGTTTTCTTCTCCAGTCATGCCTTGTGCAAGATTCCGGAGTAGCCGATGGTGGGAAGCGTTGTATCATACTCCATCTACTGGTCCGTTAAATTGCGCCCACGAACCATTGAGCCATATGGTTGGACGTGCCAAGACGCAAGAGATTGATAAGTCGGAAATAACGATCCAACCAAGTATACGTATGCCTAGTCCTCGTCAAAGTGATACTTCCCCGTTCATAGGAGCCCGTATCTGTAGCCACCGACGACGGAGCCCACCGGCCATGTGGGCTGCCAAGACTAATATCGCCGAAGCTTCATCAGATAAGATCCACAGGCCAAGCAGTGGCCATATGACTGAGAAGAGATTCTTGGCCACTTATACTTGACCCCACCAACAAGGCGCCACCAGCTGGAAGGCCGTGCTTGGCAATAATGCAGCGACGTACGGGCCGTCGGTCATCTCCCGCCTTTGACTCATGACTTGGTAGGTTCATTTTAGAAATGGTAGTTGGTGTATCTGCCTCGGGCGCTGTATCCGAGCCCCAGGTGGTCCTAAGCGAGATAGCGGATTGACACGGTTTATCTTGGCATCAAATTCTTACCATATTGGGAGTCCTCCCCACGTTCGGCGTGGTTGTTCCAGGTTTGTTGTCGCAAAGTATACACGTTTCAGGGTAACCTGTCCGCGTTCCTGCGGCATTTAGGTACGCATTGTATGATTGTGATAGTTTTGCCGCTTGGCATGATGTCCTGTTCATGGTTGGGCTGTAGGTTGCACGTATTGGGTTCAGACTGCTCCTAGGAATCATGAAAATCTGGCTCAAATCACAGGTTGTCCGTTGGGCAATATGACCGCACAAGTACTGGACATGTGACCATGGTATTTCACAATTGATTAACCTTGGGTAAACCAGCAAAGCTTGCATCACTCACTAGAGTTTATCGGCGAGAAACCCTTTTTGCAATGAAGATATGTGGGTGTCAATCCCACGCCTGGAGGCAGCCAAAATTTCGCCCGTTGAACTTCGCACCCAGTATCCACCCTTGTCCGAGTCAAGCAACCGATCCCTCCCCGCCTCCTATTCATCTAATGGCCCCATGACCCATAGGAGGAGGAGATGCAAGTCACTAGAGAACTCCCCGTATGGCAGTCCCACCGGCCCGCCGCTGATATCCCGAGGGAAGGTTATGAGAAAGAAAGGAATTAGTTTGCGAGCCTAACCTAAAGCTTAATTAGCGAGTACGCTAGGATTGCATGGCGCAACCGAGTTCTATGGGTCATCTTATCAATCAACAATACTTGTATGGAACGATTGGTAATTTTACGTCCACTGTGCCTGACGATCCTCGAAAGATAACTTGAATCTGCTTTGGTCCCAGGTACATCACCGTTATTCTGGAACACTGGGGAGTGTTGCAGAGGCAAATCAGCTAAGTATAGATTGAATCGGGACATCGTGTGTGGTTGCAGCCGTCCTGTCTTGTTCGGCCATGGGTCGAGTAATTGTACGATTCTATGGTGCAGGTCAACACGACCACTGGTATAACCGCACTGGCGCCTCAAGATTAAAGAAAAGGGCACTAGCCAAGTGATTTTACTGTTAGTTAGTGTGAGTAATATCGGTGGGAAAGATTTCTTCCCTGGGATGCTCTGGTGTCCCTCCAAATGGCTCTTCCCAAAACGTAAGTGCTCCCAACTATGAAGGTATAATTTCTAACATCGGGGTCCCACATGCACCCAAGTAATCAACCTAGCTGACTTTTCCACTAAACTCTGCACTATAGCCATGTTTCGACCATATCCACCGTCTTGGTTCAGGTACCTCAGTAGGAATTCTCGTCAGCGTTGTATTCGCATAACAATGACGGCATGAAATGACATATTTTCCTCCGATCTCCTACCTATGTCTGAGTAGATCGTACCTTGTGACAAGAGCAGAGCATACCTCTGTTGCGTGGTGGTTAAAGGAGCATTGCCCATAGTAAATCCGTGGTAATGCCATGTCTTGGCGTGTCTCTTGGCAAGGTGTTGAAGTATCCGGAGTACGGTGACTGTATCGTTACAGCCGACTATCAACCCAAACTTCAACCATCCGCCCGATGGGGCACCCATTTTTTGACCGGGTACAATTTATCAGATCCATGCCCATGACTCCAGTTAACCAATCGCTTCTGACTCCTCACTATCAGATTTTTCCTGCGTCTTGGCAAACATCCTTGACCCGCTTATAGTTACCAGGGCCACGCCTCTGAGACCCTTTGCATGCCGCGATAGCCATACTCTAGGCATATGACCAGAGATTATTCCCTGTGAAGATTGATAAGCGAGAACCGGAGTGGCCATTTTTGTTACGTAGGTAATTCAACATCGTATTCACCCGGACGCTGAAGGCCCGGTCGAATTCGCTCCTAGTGCCATGGCAATTTCGGTGTGGTGTCTCTATGGATGGTTGGAGTGGCACCTGAGCCGCTGAAAAGACGCATCCGAATGGGTTGCGGGAATCGGAGAAGACTTAGAGAAATCTGTCGTTGATCCGCTGGGGTATATGTTGCTATCATCTCCCTCGGTCATCGCAGGGACTGGGACAGGACCACTTTGGCTTGGACTCTCATTCATTTTTGACACTTTCAACTGTCTCTTGAGGTTGCCTTAGACAAGGCTTACTGTCGACAAGATGGCCAACGGTGTGTTTGCAGTGACAGGTATGATGCCTCTGACTCTTGCACCTTATTATAGCAAGGCATTTGCTCTTTGATCTAGTGCTCACAATCTACAGTCTTCTTCATCTGCTTTCGTGAATGTCTTGAGAGTGTCATTATCGTCTCCGTGCTTCTGTCTTTCCTTAAGCAGACACTAGGAGGAGAAGGCGATGTACAAACATTAAAACGATTAAATCGACATGTATGTTTCTTCCCCCATACAGAATCCCGTTCTGCCTTCTTACAAAATCCAGGTATGGCTTGGTGTAGCATTAGGTCTCTTCATATGTTTGTGTGTCGGCGGTGGTATGATTGGTGCCTTCTACGGCCTCAACAAGGATGTCTTCACCGGTAGTGAGGATATTTGGGAAGGTATCTTCGGATTCATCGCTTCCATCATTATCAGTATCATGGGTGCTGGTCTCTTGCGTGTCTCGAAGCTGCAGGACAAGTGGCGCGATAAGCTGGCCCAGGCTCTTGAAGAGAAAGAGAAGACCAAGATCGGTATCTACCAGCGGTTCAAAGACTGGTCCAAGAAATATGTCATGTTCCTTCTTCCATTTGTGACTGTTCTTCGCGAGGGCCTTGAGGCCGTCGTATATGTTGGTGGTGTCGGTCTCGGTCTCCCTGCTACTTCGTTCCCTCTCGCAGTCGTTTGTGGTCTTGCTGCCGGTATTGCTGTCGGATACCTGCTTTACAGGTTAGTTTGCCCTGTCGTGCCGGAAAGGTTTGCAGTTCCGTCTAACATTTCTACTCCAATAGATGTGGTAACACTGCATCCCTGCAATACTTCCTGATCATCTCGACCTGCTTCCTCTACCTCGTCTCCGCTGGTCTCTTCTCCCGTGCCATCTGGTACCTCCAGAACAACGCCTGGAACAATATCATCGGTGGTGATGCCTCCGAAACGGGTTCGGGAGCCGGTTCCTACGATATCCGCCAGAGTGTCTGGCACGTCAACTGCTGCAACCCCGAATTGGGTAGCGGTGGTGGATGGGGTATCTTCAACGCCCTTTTCGGCTGGACCAACTCTGCCACCTATGGATCCGTGCTGGGTTACAACCTGTACTGGATCTGTATCATCACTGCCTATGTTTGCATGTGGTACAATGAGCGTTACGGCTACATTCCGTTCTTCTCGGCCTGCATGCGCAGAATCCGCCCTAAGAAGGCTGCCAGCCGGTCCAGCAGTGAGGGCGTGATTGAGAAGAGCAAGGAGGTTGATATGATGCCATCGCAGATTATCACCAGGGAGATCAATGCCTGAGCGTACGGCTAAATGCTTTACTGTCGGTCTTGTGGCGAACACCGTTAATGAGGTTTGAAGGGTGCTAGAAAAGATGAGGGCCTTGAAAAAGGAGGTTGCCTACCGCGCACGGCCAGGCAACAGCTAGTGATTGGAATGATTGTATTTGGATATACGGGCTGGGAATGTCAGTTTCAGCCACATAATGCTATTACGGTGGAAAAACTAGAGGAACTAATTATTTTCGTGAATCAAAATTGCAACTAATATTTCCACCTTCGGCTGACAACCATCCATTTTTGTAGGGCTGATCGGAAAATCCGATCTGGAATTGGGAACATGAGGGGAAAAGAACAATAATAAGTGACTGCAAGAATCACGTCTTTACCTCCGATCCTGCATGACGAAATTTGTAGTACGCGTCAATCAGCAGGGAAGGAAAGATAACTAGGTGGCGAGCAAGGCTCGGGGATAAGCCCTGGCGGCTTGAGCTCAATGTGGATCCTCCGAGCTGCGGACAACAACATAGCCAGCCGCCATATAACTATACGAGAGTCCAACAAAAATATAGAGAAAGGTGAGTCCCATCTAATCTCCAACACTTTGATAATCATGTATCATTCAATCTTATTAACGTGTCTAACAGCCTTCTCCATGACTACCACCACCACAGCCCTCGCCATCGGGGAACCGCAACCCATGCACAACGCCAACCACATCTTCAACGCTATTCACTCCTCCATGCGACAATGGGGATCATCAATTCATCATAATGGAATGTCCTTTTTTCTTGCCTCTGTCCCGAAGGGAATCAAGCTCTATCACGGCGACGCACGATCAGACCCCATTTCCAGGATAGGCTGGATGGCTTTCGATCCCGAGCACGCCATGGTATTCGCCCGTCCTCCTTCGAAACAATCATCTCACAACGTGGACTCAGAGTCCCAGCAAGTAATGATCACTCCAGCTGAGACTGGCTGGCTTCACACCTACGCGACCACGGAAGACCTTCGCCTCGTTTACATCGACGGTACCTCGGCGGGGAAGTCACAAATAGGCACGCTGGACCTGCAGGACCGAGTGCTATTCGAAGATAAACTGGAGCCTGGAGGCGTAAGCCAAGAGCCAGCGCGAGCTCGTGCCATCTGTGAGATTGCGCAAGAGGAATGGAATGGACGTATCGACGGCGTGATCCGCATGGCAGCGGGTTTTGAGATCATTCTCTGTAATCCTGAACAGAAGCTAGACACAGTCAATATTGCTCGAGTGACCCTTCCCAGTCGGGATCCCGAAAAGAAGAGCGGCAAACCTGGTGACTTGCTTCGGACGGTCACATCAAGGTATCATGGCATTGGCGGCGACCGGGTCATTGTCAACTATGACGCTTTCGTCACTGCATATGACTATGGTATTGATCTGTTCCCTGGTGGTAGCCAACATCCGCGACTTTCACATCTCCCCGCTATGTCACTTGCGCCAATTAGGGATGATTTGACTGCGCTAGTCTTGACTCACGATCCTACGACGCGGACGATAAACTGGCAAGGAGTGGCGGACATGGTCGTTGAGAAATACGGTCGCATTCTGCGCGGCTTAGTATCCGCCCATGATGACGATCAGGCTGCTCGTCTCGAGTTTATTATGGAGACGGCAGAGCGTATATTATCCCCATTTGTCGATCGCGACAATCGTGGCCACTACGCTGAGATTGACCGGTGTGCTAGCCAGTTCATTCCAACTCATGCTCCTAAGGATTCTTTGGGTTACCGAGCTGTCTATACTGTTAGCAGCAGGATCTGCAGCAGTCTTATGGCAGTCATGGAGGCTAAGGAGTACGGTATAGTGACAACTGTTCTGCAGGACCTGATGCACTATCTTGACTGGAGTATATGGAAAGAGTGTTCTGGTTGCCAGGATGATGAATTCTGTGCTGTTCCTATTTGGCCGCAGGGGTCACAGGAAGATTATGATCATCCGCGGTGCCAGAAGTATGATAGCGCATTTCAAGGGGACAATGACTACTGGGGTCCTGTGTGGCGGTAGTTCGCACCGCTTTTCTTGATCTTACTTTTGCATGTTATACTGGAGTTACTCTACGGCGTTGGGTTTGGATAGTCGGTTGAGTTTGAGACTCTACATATTCCACATCCATCAAATCTTAACATATGACATGCGCAAAGAGTCCTGTATACCTGGACAGAGTTTCTTAGCAACCAAGACAGTCACATTCTCCCATGACACCGTGGCGGTGCTGCGATGTGTCCCACATGAAACTTTGCTGGTCAATCTGGGCCCCATCGCCGTCGATTACCGTATTCGGAAATCGACGCCGACCCCGGCCATAACCCGAAAACTATCACCGTCACTCCAGTCGGGCCCGAACCGAGCAATCCCAAGCGCAATAGTAACACGGGTGATATCCAGTCGACACATGCAATTGACCCCGGTCGGCATGGCTCATGAAGAAATTCTGTGTCCAAGTGGACGGTATTTCAACCCCGGCTTCTCCTGTACAGCCCTACGAAGATCACCCCACTAACCCGTTCTGGTGGCCCTTTGCGAACAGGCAGTAGGAGTCGTCGGGGGTTTGGCTTATCCCTTTCTCGCTCTAGTAGTCTTTTTTATTCGCTTTCCAACCAGTGGGAGTTGTTGCTTTTCAATCCACATTCTGGAGAATGCCCCCTGAGAAGTACTTAAGTTCCTTTGTTCCCTGCTCTTCGCGATGGGTGAGATAAAGAGCACGAATACAAGGCGTTTGAGCAGAATACATACAGGTGAGTATGGACATTGTTATCAATGAAGAGGTAACAGAAATATTAATTTGTTAGAAGAGAATAAATAAAGGGCGACGTGGGAAATCAGCTGATGCATACAGTGGCTGAAACTGCATCCGGCTCAGCATGGAGGGGTATAAATCACAATGGTCATCGTGTCTCATAACACTGCATGAAAGGTTCATAAGTTGCAGCTTATTGCGCGGTTGTGAGGCTGCGGGTCATTGCGGATTGTTCAAGAATGCTTGAACGAGGTTCTTCCGGTCTACCATCCGCGCACAAGACGGAGGCCAACCGGTAACCCATGGTCGAACCAACACACTCAAGAGCAAGCCGGCAGAGAGTCAATTGGTCTTCTGTAGCGAGACCGGAATTTACAACCACCCACATCGGCCAAAGAAGCGTGTATCCATTCGCCAGCTTGCTGTTGGGGTGCAGCTGGAATTCATGACTTGGAGTGACATGTCCCAAGGTGTAAGTCACAGTGTCGCAAATCACCTCTATCAGGCTTCTGATCCGATGGTCTATCCCACTGAATGTTTCTACAGGGAAATATTCA